CGCTTTTTGTTTAAATCTCAATAAAAGTGCGTGTGTGTGTCTATATATATATATATATATATATATATAGACACACACACGCATTCTTATTGAGATTAAAACAAAAGGCGGATTCTGTTTCTTCTGTTTTTCACTTGGTTAAATCGTTGAGAAGGTGAAAGAGATGGAGACACAGAGGGATTATTATGGCGAATCCAAAACCTATATCAAGGAACTAAGAGCCAGGTTCCAAGACCAGCCTGAAAAATTGAGTAGCTTTTACAGGGTCATGAAAGATGTCATGGCTCTAACAGATGAGCTCTCAGGGAGAATAGAAAACGTATCTGATGATGTCTTGGCAAGAGTGAAGGAGATTCTTGAAGGTCATTGTGACCTGATACGTGGGTTCAACTTGTTTTTGCCGCCCTCGCGTCGATTTAGCCTTGATGATGATGAAGATGAGACAGTAGAGGTAGAGGATAAGGATAAGGAGGAAGCTGCGGCTGTTTCGGCAGAGAAAACAATGCTGTTACAGAATTTTATAGACAAGCAGAGGATGCGTGGCGGAAAGGTCTGGGATGATGATGTGAAGGTTTTAAGACAGTTAAAGGACAGGAGGGATCTCTATAAAGTTATTGTCCCGCTGTGCGGAGACGATACTGATTTACTAGAGGGTTTTTATAGATTCGTGAGAGCTTCCGAAAAAACTTCAGGAGCATCTCGTGACCCAAACTCTCAAGATAAAGATGTGAACAACGGCAGAGAAGTCACAATTCAGACTGGCGAGCAGCAGCAGGAGCAGCATGAAAAGATTGATCAGGTGGGTGTAGAGAAAGATGAGGAAAGAAATATTGTCAAGAAGGCAGGAAGATACGCAGAGAAAGCATATGACAGGGTGGTCATAAAAAAGCTCCGGCAGGATGGACTCTGCTTGTTCGAGAAGGTTCGGAAGAGGCTATCATGTGAGAACAGCTATTATAAATTCTTAAAGTTGATTTTCTATTATACTAATCGAATGATTCAAAAGGATGAATGGAAAGAAAGGATAGCTGCTGTGATTGGAAAGCATCCTGATCTCATGGATGAGTTCCAGCGTTATGTTACAGACTCTGAGAATGTTCATGTATCCAGGAAACAAGATGAGGAAGAGGATGAAGAGCAGAAGATTGAAACAAGGGGATGCAAACAAAGGGACAAAAAGAATGGGAAGTATCTGTATAAGTCAAATCGAGAACTTGATCTCTCTCAGTGCAAAAGGTGTACCCCTAGTTATCTGTATCTTCCAAAAGACTATCGTGATCCTCCTAAACACAATAGAATGCAGCCCGAACTGCAGGAGTTGAATGATCGATTTTTGCTGGTGCCTCCAGGAACTGAGGACTTCTTCTCCAGGAACATCGACGAGAACGAGGAAATCTTGTTTGAATGTGAAGATAATAGACATGAGATGGACATGCTAATTGGTTGGTTTAGTTCAGCTGTTGAGTACGCAGATGAATTGGAAAAAGGCATCCCTCGTGACAAATTCAAAAAAGGGAATCGGAATATCTTTTTAAGATGTCTCGAACGTTTATATGATGATCAGGGTCTTGATTTACTCCACAAATTCAACGAAGATCCTCAACGTGCACTGCCTGTTCTAAAAGTTCGTTTGGAGCAAAAACTGAAGGAGCTGAATGATTATCATGATAAACTTCGAGAAAATTGGCGCAATGTATATGCTAGAAATTAGTATAAATCATTGGGTAGCTATGATAGTTCAACAAAAAATTATTGTAAGTAGTTTTGTTTTTCAACTCTCCAGGTTAGGTGGATTGTATATTTGCAACTGGATTTCTTATAAATTTTCATTTTGTCTTCATCCTGTAGAAAGTATGCACCACCTGGAAACTAGGTAAATAAGCATCAACAAATAACCAGATATTAACCTGCTCGAAACAATTGACAATTTATAAGTTCCAATTCTTTTTTTTTTGTACAATTAAAATCAGGATTAAACAATCAACAAATATAAAGCAACAATTACACAAATTAACATCAAGATTTTTACATGAAAAACCCGATGCGGGAGAAACTAGGGGACAATAATTCACCTAAAAACTTCCATTATCAATAAATAATGGGTTCACAACTGTTCTTTTTTAGATTCAACAAAGGCCTACAACATATATATCATCAAGAACAACTTATTTTTGGAATACAACAAAATTAAAGAAGAAGTATTTGAGAAAAAACTCACAATATTGATAGTCTTTTTTGTCAAAACGGTCAACTTTCACACCATCAATCTTTGATCCAACCATTCAGAATGAAGAGTAACGTGTCTAGAAGCTGCTGTCAAAATCTCAGCTCGATCCAATGGTAAACGAGCTAGAAATCAAGGAAATTATACATACTGCTCTTGTGCCTCTTCTTCCTTTCTTTCTCCCTTTTCTCTTGCTCTCTTTTGTTTAATAATGTTGCTGCCATCAACAGTAGCAAACACATTTAAATCAAATAGGCAGCCAACTGCCTTTTTTTTCAATTAATATGGTGGTCCCACCATTACATGGTGTGGGACCACACAACAAATCTCTCCCTCACGCACCATGTGAGGAATTCACCATACTGGCGATCAACATATAAACTTCAATTTATGAGGCTCTACCAAGCTTGCTTCCCTTCTGTAAAATTCAAACTTCTCTCTTAGTAGAGGTTTGATCATCATGTCTAACACGTTTTTATTAGTATAGATCTTCTCAATAACGATTGACTTCACCTCCATAGTATCTTGAATCCATTGATATCTAACCTCAATGTGCTTTGATCAAGAGTGAAAAGAAGGATGTTTACTAAGATGGATTGCACTTTGACTGTTACAGTACAACACAAAGTTCTTTTGAATTAAGCTAAGTTAATGTAAAAACTTCTTCATCTATAACAACTCTTTGCCTTCTTCAGTAAGAGTGATATATTTAGCCTTTGTATTGGATAATGCAATAGTTTTGCAACCTTGATTGCCATGAGACTGCTCCCCCTGCAAACTTCATCAAGCATCATGGTGTTGACTTTCTATAATTAACATCACTAGTCATTTCTGCATCTGTGTTCCATCCAATACAGGTTTATTATTACCAAAACATAAGCTGAAACTAGAAGTACCTTTAAGATACCTGAGTATTTATTTCACTGCCGACCAGTGTTTATTACTAGGATTGGAGAGGAACCGACTAACCACATAAAATGCATGAGTTATATTTAGCCTTGTGCAAACCATGTCATATATCAAGCTACCAACTGCAGATGCATAAGGAACCTTTTTCATCTCATCTCTTTCTTTATCACTTGAAGGACACTACTTAGAACATAGTTTAAAGTGGCCTGCAAGTAGAGAACGAACGGGTTTAGAGTTGCTCATGTTGAATCTCTCAAGTACCTTTTGAACATATCTCTCCTGAGCGAGATAACCACAATTTTTCTTTTTTCCGATCATGTGTGATCTTCATACCAAGAATTTGTTTTGCCAGGCCTAAGTCTTTCATTGCAAAAAAATTGCTTAACTCTTCCTTTAAAATCTGAATCTTATTAACATCATGGCCAACAATTAACATATCATCCACATATAATAAGAGAATAATAAAGTTTTCATCTGGAAACCTTTTCATAAATACACAATGATTAGAAGTGGTCTTGTCATAATCATGATCCACTATGAAAGAATCAAACTTCTTATACCACTGTCTTGGAGCTTGTTTTAACCCATATAGACTCTTTTCACTTGCAAACTAATTGCTCTTTACCTTTTGCTTCAAACCTTTCAGGCTGCTCATGTAGATCTCCATATCTAAATCACCATGGAGAAAGACAGTTTTCACATCAAATTGTTCAACTTCAATATTTAAACTAACAGCTAAGCCAAGCACAACTCGAATTGAAAATATCTTGACCACTAGTGAAAAATTTCTTCAAAATCAATACCCTTCTTCTAATCAAAACCTTTCACAACCAATCTTGCCTTGTACCTTGACAATGGGCAATGTTCATCAATTTTCAACCTAAACATCCATTTGTTCTTAAGTGCTCTCTTAGCTTTAGGAAGCTTTACTAACTCAAAAGTATGGTTTTCATACAAAGATTTCATCTCTTCTTGCATTGCTTTAAATCGCTCACTTTTCTTCTCATATGACATAGCTTCATTAAAGCATTTTGGCTCTCCCCTATCAGTAACCAATACATACTCATGAGAAGAATATTTGGTGGAAGGTTAACAAGGTCTAGTTGACCTTCTCAATTATGGCTCATCTAGAGCTTCTTGCGTAACTTGTTTAGGAATAACATCAATATCAACATTAGCTGATTCAGGATCACCAACTAATAACTTAATAAGAAAACCACCATTATCATCATTTTACAAATCTCCTATATGATTATTAAGTATCAAAGGTA